GGGGGGGGGGGGGGGGGGGGAATTATTCTAGGTTTGATTTTAAAGTAGTATGAATGCACATGTATATTGTCTTCATTTGTAACATGATATTGTCAATGTAATGATATACATGTGATTATATGTCATGGAAATGAAAATAAAATATTCTAACCAGAGAAATTGGATATAATTTTTCAAGCCGTCCAACCCATAGGTTGCTAATTACCTTGCCTCATAGGTATCTTATCAAATGCCTAGCTGAAATCAGGATATATTATGTCTATATCATTGATACAATCAGTTACAAATTTTACTTCATTATAAAGAGATAAAATCATTCCACCAAGGTGTTTAGATAAAGTTTTCTTTATCTACATTTTTTCCTTTTTATTTTGAAAATAGGGGGAATATTTGGTCATCTGGTACTTTTAACAGTTTTCAAGATTTTGTATACCTTGAGTTGTAACTGCAGTTGTGACTAGAATTGCTATCACTAATGATGTGATTATAAAGCATGATGTCATGCTATCATAGCAATGGCAGTCCAGGCAGCCCTAGTTGTAATTCCAGATGTGTAGGTTTGAAAGCGAAAAGATCTCAGGTAAAGAATGTGGAAGTGCCACAGGGGATGGAGGGGATTCCTGGAAGGTCCAGTGAAGACCACATATGAGTTGGGGAGGAGGTGCTGCAATAGGGTGCAAACTCAGAAAGGTCAGGAAAAGGTGAATGCAGGGAAAGTGTGTGGAATGTGGGAGCATAGGGATGCTGAGGAAAGATAATTTGGGATACATGTCAGTGTGCAAGTGAGCAATGGGAAATTGGGGAAAGAGGATGTGGGATATGTGCAGGTGCAGGGCAGCCAGGGAAAGAGGGCATGTGGTGCATGTATGTATGTGAGCACAGAGAACACAGAAAAAGGGAATGCAGTTGTGCATATGTGTGCAGAGCGACTGAGGAAGGAGAGCATAGGGTATGTGAATATGAAAGCAAGTAGTCTGGGAAAAGAGACTTGTGGGTGTGTGCAGGGAGGTCAGAGAACGAGGGTGCTTGTTTGTGTTCCAGTGCAGGGAGTTGCATGTATTCTATTAGTTTAATGTGCATTTCTTTTATGTAGCTTTCCAGTGATGAAGCTGTTCAGAAAGTACTTGCTGAAGAAAAATCTTTTAAAGAAAAGACACCATCTTCATCTAAATCTCAAAACACAGAATCTAAAACAGAAGAAAGTAGATATCATAGAGAGGTAATTTTAATAACCTGCTGTATTTAAAAAAATAAACATAGGAGTCTATATGTTGAATAAAAAAACAGAGAAATTGTTTTGTTTCTTTATTTACTGGGTTTCTGTGCTGATTCACTCATAAAAGAAGCTAAGTGATAATTGAGTAAACTCAGGTTAAAACAAAATACATAAGAAATTTAAAATGGTCATTGATTTACAACAATAGTCGACCCCAGAATTATGATTTTGTGGTGGTCCTTAAGCAAAACACTGATGTAATGATCTCATTGAACAACCCCAATCCCTGCTCTTCTGGTTGTCTTTAAGCAGAGCTTGGGATCCCTTGGGGTGAGGGAAGCCCTGTGAGGCCTTCCTAGTTCACATATGGCCTACCTTGAGCCTCCCAGGGCCTTCTCCATCCTCTGAGGAACCCCATGTTCTGTTTCCTGCACTGTTGGATCCCACAACCTTAGTTCTCCTTCCCCCACATTACTTCTCAGTCCATTTAACTTTTCCAAAGATTGCCTTTCAGAAAGAGAAGAAGTCAATAAACTATTAGGGAAATCTTGGATTGAGAAAATTGTAGCCACTTCTGGGATAGCACAATGGGTCCTCTATATAGAAAGGTCATGGGGCAGATTGGCCAGTTCTACCCAAAGGTAATATTTAGAAAAAGTAAGTGAAGTGAGGCATGTGGCTTGAGAGGCAAGCCCAAGGATTGTGGGGACCCAGCGAGGTGGAAGATAGGCCCAAGCAGGGGATAGGGGAAGATGAGTAGGGGCCACTGTAACATCTCTGTGTCAATCGTAAAGGTGGGTGAATTGCCAAGTGCCAAGATTTTGTTCATGGGATGTTGAGGGCATTGCAGCCATGACTTGGGATACAGGTCATAAGTCCCTTCATTCATCACTGTTGTAATTCTGAATGGTCACTGAAAGAATGATGATAAGTCAAGGACTACCTATAAATCAAAGCAATCTTCAGGTTATGACCACTTTTCAGCAACCATTCAAAGTTATGAGGGGGATTTAAGACTAGCCTGCAAAGTTACAGCTGTTGCAGTATCCCTACCTATGGTACCCATTCACCCACCTGTGTTCCATAGCGCTCACCTATGGCATTCAACTACCTGTCCAGATTCCATACTGCCTGGTTGTAGCACACAACAAGCTGTTCATTTTGTGTAACATTTCCCTATGGTAGGTACCCTTCCACCCCTCTTACCTGCAGCTTTCAACTGCTGGCCTGCTTATCTGAGATTCCAGCCTCTTCCCAATTAATAACCCATGCAGTCCTGAGATTACACTAGCAACCAAGAATACTTGGATTGCTGTCATGAAGCAATACAGTCATGTTATACCACATTTTACAATCACATCACTTATTAACAGAAATTATTGTCAAGAACTACCTATAGTGAACCCCAAATCTATCCTAAGCCATAAAGGGTTTTAAGGATGATGGCTCACATTTTGAATTGCTCAAATATTTTGAATGTAATTTTATTTTTTGTATTTTATTATTTAGGGAAGAAATGATTCTGAAATAAAAGACAAAAGCACAATTCAGGACCAAAAAGTCAAAGAAGAATTGAAAGAGGAAGAAAGCAAGCAAAGAGAAAATGAAAAATATAAAGATTATGAAAATAATCCCAATAATTTTGATAAAACTGTAAATGAAAGTGAAAAACATGAAAAAGAGAGAATCAAAAATAGATTATCCAAATCAGCAAGAGAGCCAGAGAAAATTAGAGACAAAGAAAAAGTAGAAGTGGAAGGAGAAAAAGAATGTGATAAAGAAAGAGACAAGGAAAGGAAACAACATGAGGGAGGAAAAGAAAAAGAGCGGTTGCGAGAAAAAGAAAAACCTAGAGACAGGGATAAAGACTCTGAGAAAGTCCGAGATAGGTACAAAGAAAAAGACAAAAGGAGGGAAAAGGGTAAAGATATAGAAACCACACGAGAAGAAAGAAAAGACAAAATGGACAAAAAGGTAATGTGTAACTAATTGTTAATGATAATTGGAGTTAGCAGACATTTTGAGCAAATTGATATAAAAATATGTGCATTTTAGAGTCACTTTAGGTGAAATGGGCAAATAGGTGTAAAAATTCAGTAAATAAATTTACTCAAAAATTTAACTTACCACCCAGTTATTTAAAGTATGAACTGTAGTCAAACGGATACAGATACATTTCTAAATATTAGTTTTAACAAATTCTAAGGCAATTCTTTTCAAAGACAAAACAGTTGTAGACTAGCTGCAGTATCTTTTTAAACATTTGTTCTTATAAAATACATGATTCGATCATTCTCTTATGATCAAAAGTTCTAAATACTTTCAGAACTTTCATTGTTTATGTCATGTAAATAGTAAATATCATAAAAGTCTTTTAGAATAACTAGTATATTACTTTTTAAACATAGAAATATTATGACATATAGTACATCAAATAAATAACAAAAGCTCTGAATGTACTTAACTCTAAGAGAATGATGTAATCAAGTTAGCCAGTATTTCACTGGGAGATTTCTTAATTGTTCCAGGTGAAAATAATGGTTTATTTGGTTAGCTCTTATGCTAGTAACGTGAGATAATTGAGTATGGTCTTACATTACAGGTAGTTCTCAATTTACAACAGTTCATTTGGTGAGCGTTTTGAAGTTACAACAGCACTGAAAAATTGACTTATAACCATTTTTCACATTTATGATTGTTGCAGCCAATGTTCCCTCTAATTTTTTTTCAGTGTGAGCGGAAAAGTATAGTGTTTGAGNCAAAATAAAATAATAAAACACAACTTGCATTCAACAGTCAACACTCGGGCGGGTAATACACATATACACATATACACATACATACATACATACATACATACATACATACATACATACATATATGGGATCGACAGTACCATCACTTTGTAATTGGCTAACAAATTGCACTCAACATGTATTCCTGAATGGAACTCCATCTGCATAGAGGATCATAAGCAGTGGGGTACCCAAGATTCCATTTTAGGCACAGTACTCTTCAAATATCTTCATAAATGATTTAGATAAGGGAATAGAAGGGGAACTCATTAAATTTGCAGACAACACTAAGCTGGCAGGAATAGTCAACACCCCAGATAATAGGCAGAAGGCTTGGAGGCTAATACAAATAAAGAATGGTTGCAGGAAATGGGTATGTATAATTAGTGAAAAGAAGAACTAGGTGATATGATACCGTGTTTCCCCGAAAATAGGACATGTCCTGATACTAAGCCCAATCAGACTTTTCAGGACATGAACTAAAGTAAACCTGCCCCCAAAGTAAGCCCCCCCCCAACTACTAAAACGACCCTGCTGGCCATGAACCTGACCTTGTGTGGGGAAGGCTATGGCGGTTTCCATGCCCCCTGTGGCAGTCCTCTGGAGTTGGGCCAGGCCTAGCCGATCCAGGGATTTTTCAGCAGCCCACTGCCTGGCCCAGGTGTGCACCTCCAGGCTCAACCACCGGTCTCGCACTTTGGTGTTGGCTTCATGCCCGAACCCAGTGCCTCCCGCCCACATGGCGGGCACCTCCTCAGCTATTCGGGAAGCCAGCCACCACCCCCAACTCTCCTGGCCAAGCAGAATTCCTGTCCTCCAGAGGGAAGCACCGCCAGTGCCAATCTGCAGGACAGTGGCAGGCTGATTTTGCAGCTGCAGCACTGCCAGTTCGAGTATCCCAACCACAAGCTGGAGAACTGAGGCCTGCAGCATCACCCCCCCCCCCAGCAGCAGCATTCCTACAGCCCAGGAGAGCCACTTTTCAATGTGTCTCAGCAGCTGTCCAACCAGCAACTGTAGCACTTCGAAGAGCCCTCCTACGTGACCTGGCCAAGAGACCCCATTTCAATTTGTGGAGTGGCAGCGGTGGCACAGGCATGCACAGGGCAGCCGCCTTAGAGACCCACCTGTGGCCCTCCCCTATCCTGGCCTGCCTGGGGACTTCACACCACTGGTGCCCAAGCATTTTCTGCCACCACCAGGCTTGTATCTCCAGGTGGCTCTGCAGCAGTGCCAGAATGCAGCGCTGATGCTCAAGCAGATGGCGGCCACACACAGCCAATCTCAGCGCCTCCATCCGCCTGGCCTGCAGCAGGTCGGGCACCACCACCACCCTCACTCTGCTGGCGGCCATGGTCATCACCAGTCCCTGAACCAGCACCCAAGCAAAACTGCTTTTAAGGCACAGAAAGGTGCTTGGTTCCTGCCGTTTCCTTGCTTTTCTGACCGGGAATGGGCGGGTTGCAGGAGCTTTCACCCCGCCCCATCCCCTGCCCTACTTGCTAACCCCCAAATTGCACCCCAGCGTGAAAATAGATTAAAAAATTGGTTTTATCCAAGTTGAGGATAATCTATTTAAACAAATAAGAGACCAAAGTTTAATGCATATAAAGAGGAT